TGTTAATTTAAGAGTCTTCTGTGTATCAAATTTCATCATAATAAAGAACTAAAAAAAGAGCACGAAAAGGAGATTTTAGAGTCTGCACTTTCCAGATGTGAAAGGGGGACGCAAATCAACAAAATAACCATATATGTATAGACACATTTTGGATTCGTATGAAGCTAGCTTGCTATCCACTACACCACCAGGCCCACCAATAAGGCTCCTCACCGGCTCAACTTCAGCGAGGCAAGCGGGGTGTGAGGATGTAAAGTGCGCCACAGTGAAGAAGCCACAGTAAGAAGAATCCCTCGTAACTTCTTTCAATAGTCATGAGTCGTACTACAGGTACCGAAAATGGACTTGAGCTCAGCGTCGCAAGACGAGTAAGTGTACTACACCTCATTACAAATGGCCGGACTGATAAATTGAGCATTCCTAGTAAGCATGCACCTAAGTGTGTCGCAAAAATTCATGACTCATTTGGTTCCTACGAGACCTCATAGTCGGCTCCAAGATGAATTAGAGACCGGAAAAGACGTGTATAGAGGTGATAGGAGAAGGAGAGGTTGAGTGTGAACGCTGGGTTTGGCCCATCCTGAAGTGGTCGGAGTTTGCTACCACTCTTATAACTCAGCTTCTAAAAGCCTCGACGACCGGAAGAAAAGAGCTGAAGCGAGCGCAGAAAGGATGGTTAAAAGCTGTTGGAGGGGGGGGGGACACCGGAGTAGGCGGAGATTCCTACTCGCTGTCATAGCTCAACACCCTGACGACCCTTATCAGAGGAAACATTGCACAGAACTTAGCAGTGGAGGGATGAGAAATGCAATTGATGCATCGAAGTGGTTAGCGCGAAAATTCGCTATTGTGCTAATAAATTCTAGCTTTGCTTCGCCCGGTATCGCGCGTATCATACGACCTGAGATTCCGCAGGCAGTCCAGGCGTATTTATCACACATAGCTCTGTAAACACTCGGCCATTTTCCTGAAATTGATAATTTAGCGGTGAATAGGGATATAGTGTTAGCCTCACAATTAAATTGCAACATTATCATACAAGCATCAAATGCTTATCCTTCGTTCACAGTGTTCGCAAATCCTAAGCTTTGGCGGCCATTAAATGAGTTCTGGTCTTCTTGGTATTTGATCAAGAATGGAATGTACGATAGAATGAATCAATAGAATGTCCACGACCTATCCTTAAAGGAATCTTGCGCGAAAGACTGCTTGCACTCTTTCCTCACAGTGAATAATGGTCAGTTGTGATCACTGAACTAGGCAGCACAAAAGGTTTCAGCTGCATGAAGATTCGGTTTTTTCCCCTGGAAGAAAAGAATAAAACCCAAAAAAACGTAAAGCAAAAAGTCAACACGTTATGGGACCATCGAAGGACCAGGAGGCGAGCCAGGCCGAAGGCTGGAAAGAAGACGGGCGTTTGGCGCGGCGTACGTACCAGAGGCGACGCAATGAAGAGAATCGGTAACGCGCGCGATTTCGGAGAGTCTGGAGACCAACTCGATCGATGGAATAGGATGAGAGTAGAAGTGTAAGATGTGAATGCCACGATAGCGACAGGCCGAAAGAGCTTCTAATTGAATGCCCTCCAAGAACCAAGTTTGAGCATCCCCGTCGCCAGCATTCCTGAAAGACATCCGTGGGCAAGTCGAACGCGTAGCAGCCTTTTCGAATTTTCGAATTTCTAATCAAAACGAAAGCAATACTTCGCTTCTTTCCACTATTATCGTGGATAATGAGTTTCAAGCCAGTGATTTATGGCTGAAATAGAATCATGATTTTTCCGCGCAAGATTCCTTCAATAACATTAATGAAAAGAGCCCCATAGTGCCATGAACGGCGCAATGGAATTGCCGACTCCTGCCTTCTAAGACTTTTTATCAGCCTCTATCAGTTGCTATCATTTTTGTCGCCCACTTACAATGTCCAGGTATCACTCCATATAACACTTGTAATTATGAACGCTCAAGTGTCAATGTCAGCTGCTCGACGGAATTTGGACTTGTGAGATCGAGGAGCCTTGACAGCCCTTATTAGTTTCTATCATCCTATTTCACCCACAGTGTCCCGGTGCCACCTCACATACACTTGTAAGTATGAACGCTCTACTTTCAACGCGAATGCTTGAGTTACATTAATGAAAAGAAAATATCAAGAAGGAATGGGAGAAAAATTAAAACGAAAGTAAAAGGGAACAAAGGAAAGTAGCTGACGAATACCAGGCGCGGTAAGCAGTAAATGCCCCTAAAACTTCGCTCGAATTTGACGCGCGGTTTCCCGCACGTGGCGAGCCGCGTGACGACGTCGAGCGGTGACTGCCCACAGGCCTAATGATTAGCTCTTGCTTTAGAGCTAAAAACTCGAACTGAATTGAATTCGATCCTACCGAATGCTTGTTCTTATACTGGTAGGGAAGTGGTATCACAATCACGACATCTTTTCCCTCTAGTCGACTATTTTGCGTACGGACAGGCAGACGTGCAAACACGCACACAAACCGACACACCGAAATTCTGATGTATATAATGAAGTGATTATGTCACGCTGCATTAATACATTAAAGGAATTATTCCGCATCGATTATGTAATCTGGATGCGCTAGACATTCCACTCACCTAAACAATCGTACTGGCATTTCATTGGAAATTGTCCCATAAGTATGACGACCATCAAGGCTTAGCCTGAGTATCTCCGAAAACCTTGATGTGTCTCATGCATTGCAAGCCCAAATCAAAAAAAAGTATCCATGGAGCTGCAAATGAAGCACCGCTGGTCATTCATCTCATTAATGTGCAAACAAAGGCAACATTAAAAGTAGGATATATCGCTGTTCTCCCGTTGCTTCGTCTGACCTGCAGTTGCTGGGACAAAATTCCATACGACCTTTCTTGCCGTAGAGGACCGCGGGCATGTCGGTGTGCTCAGAGTGATTATGCATTTCGCTGCATTTTCTTCTCTAAAGTCTAAGGGCATTCAGGACAGGAAGTTTGGAAGCCCATTTCCCAAATTGCGGCAAGAACGTTTGCGCTCGGTGCATGAAATTAGGGGTTTCCAATGCATGAGACACATTAAGGCTTTCGGAGATACTCAGGCAAGCCGTAGTGGTCTTCATACTTATGAGACAATTCCAAATGAAATGCCACTACGATTGCGGAGGTGAGTGGAATGCGTAGCGCATCCAGGATTACATTGATTGGTGCTGAATGCATTCTTTGACGTATTAGTGCAGCGTGACATAATCACTTCATTATATTAACCAAAAGTTCGGTGTGTCGGTTTGTTTGCGTGCGTGTTTGCACCTCTGCTTGTCCGTTCGCAGAATGGTCGACTAAAGGCGAAAGATGTCGTGATTGTGATACCACTTCCATAACAGTATAAGAACAACCATTCAGTAGGATCGAATTCATTTCAAGGGTTTGGCTGTAAAGCAAGAGCTAAGGAGGGGCGCCTTGATCTCACAAGTTCCCATTCCGTTGAGCAGCTGACATTGACACTTGAGCGTTCATAATTACAAGTATTATATGGAGTGATACTTGTGTAATTGGGCGATAAAAATGATAGCAACTGATAGAGGCTGATAAAAAGTCTTAGAAGGCAGAAGTCGGCAATTCCACTGCGCAGTTCCCCTTAGCACTACGGGGCTCTTTTCATAAGTGTTATTAGGGGTGGGTCGTAGTCATTCTGTCGATATAATCAGCTTGGCTTGAGCAGACTCTTAGGGAATGGTACATTCTATTCTTGATCTAATACCAAGAAGACCAAAACTCATTCAATGATGGGCAAAGCTTAGAATTTGCGAACACTGTGAATGAAGGATAAGAATTTAATGCCCTTGATGCCCACTTGATGCAATTTAATTGTGTGGCTAGCACCATAACTCTATTCATCGCTAAATTATCAAAACTCAGGAGAATGGCCGTGTTCACAGAGCTATGCGAGATAAATATACCAGGAGTGCCCGTGGAATCTTAGGTCGTATGATACGCGCGATACCGGGCGGAGCAAAGCTGGTATAAAATAATATAAGAAGAGTCAATATCTCTAGGTGTGTGGGGCGTGCATCTACATGGCGGAGCTATCCACGAAACATTATAAATCGGTCACAAGGAGCCACGGAGACAGGGAGAAAAAAGTGGACTGAGTCTGACAACGAAAGGGATGTCAGTCCATTGGCGGGCACCAAAGTGGGCATAATTTGCCACAAAAACTTCGTAAATCGGTTCCAAGAAATACAAGAGACCGGGAAAGACGGGGTAGAGGTCGGCAAAGGGAAGGAGGCCATCTACGATTAATGCGTGGCATGCACCAAAGTGAGTGGAGTTTGCCACAAAACTTCATACAGTTAGAATAGTAGGTGATGCAGTTCCACGACACAACAGAGAGAAGCTCTAATCTTTATCATCAGCGCAAAATAACTGAATAATGGCCTCATCTCGGAGCGATGGGAGCGGGTATAGGTTCAGGCTGCCGGTCGTGGTGATTTCTCCTTAAATGCCCTCTTCTGGGCTCCTCCTCCTTGACCGTACGATTGCTCTCACCGTCTCGTCTCTCCATGTCGTTCCTGCGAGCTTACAACTTAGCTGTGGACTGTGCGATGGCTCACTTTTTTTCTTCTCGTTCTCATAGACCACATACCCAGTTTAGCTTGGCTCTTACATCTCAACCTTTTCACCAAAACTTCCGTCCTCGGACGTTGAAGAAAAGGGCGGTACGACCGAGAAAGAGGGATGAGTAAAAATAAGAAAAGAACGGAAGCGTGACTCCATAACGGTTGGAACTTACGCTTGCAGAGAAGGTCTCGATCCATCGATGAGAGTCAGAAGGAGTGTTGCTAGGCAACAAGCGTGTGAACCGTACGTGGATTTGCCGTGGGATGACGGCCCTCTCAATCCTGAAGAAATAGTTGCATTGATATTCCCTGCATAATTGTCATTATAAAATTGCTATGGGATGAAAAAACACGAAAGAGGGAGGACGTATCTCCACTGTTATCGTGGCTTACCATCGGATCTGAAGCTACAGCAAAGGTTGTTAGAGATGGATGGTGGGCCGACGTCCTGGAGCTGAAGAACAACTTGCGCTCGCTTCTTCAGATCGCCATGTTTCACTGTTCTCGCCTCCACTCTCTTACCTGTCGCAATCTGAAACGTCCAAACTTTTATCACACAATGATTAGCTTATCCTTGTAGAATCCCTTGCTTCTAAGGAAAAGTCCTATGGCGCTAACCCTTTCTCAAGAGTTGGAGTCAGGGCAGGTGCCGTTCTCCAAATGGCTGTGCTCTAGCCGTGTGCGGCAAGCACGTACGAAAGTTCCAGTAGTGACGAAGCGTAGATAGCACATGACGCTGCGGTTGCTCGCGTCTTGTCACCGCAAGCCTGAAATGTATTCCTGAATTTATTCCGCGTGTTTCAGTCATATGATTGAGACATCTGGTGTATGAAATGAACTACCGGTAAGGTTCGTTTCTGAGATGAGGGATGTCGATACGGCCGAAAACGCTTGGTGGACATGATATTGAGCCTCCTTGGAGGAAACGACAATACTGGATGAAATACGGGGAATTGTGTACAATAATCTTCATCGCGAGTAGATAGCGAGAGAAGCTGAGAGATGGGCAACTGTGGCTGAAGGTTCCGGTGAGGTAAGTGAGGTATAATTCTGCGCTGAAAAGCTCGAATCCCAAGACAACAAGTTAGCCGCTGGGAGCCGGCGCGGAAGTCCCGTCCTCCGCGTAAAAGAGGCGTCCCGCGCGGCGGGTCGTTGAGTTGAGCTCCGAGGGACGGACAGACGGCCGCTACGTGTCCGTGTGCTGCACGACTCTTTGAGTCCGTTCGAAAGTCGTGGGATTCTCCAACTTGACAAAGTAACGGACGTCACCCCTCAAAAGAGCTACAAATTCTTCCAGAACACGCTCTTTATGTAGCCAAATCTTGCCCTGATGTGGCTGCTCGAACCAAATTAAGGACACGATTCGCGAAGGCAGCACGTGACTCCAGATTCCTGTAGACGTGACCCATTAGGAAGTTGGCCTGTTGTTCTTAAGAAAGCGGGATAGGTCGCATCCGCATAATGTTTTTCAAGCGGCGTCACCATATTTAAAACATTGCTCCGTCTTCGTTGTAGCTCGTAAGCGGAGTGGTGCGGGATCCCTGCGAGTCTGGCTGGAACATAGCCACCTTCGGAAGATTGTCAAGCCGCTTGCCTACCGCCGCAAAGGATTCATTCAGCTGTTCCGTGAAGGCTGTGTCACCTTAGTTAATCTTACGGGACAGAAGAGCCGCCATCGCTCGAGAATCGTGCCAAACCTGAGTTATGACGGACGATGTGGCTTCACGGAGGGCCTTATCATCGCGCCCACAAGGAGAAGAGTCGTACTGCTCATCGAATTTGGGCCGGCTCACCGTCTGGAGGCTTTGTGAAGTTAGGCCAGAGACCCTAGAAGAGATGAGCGAGACTTTGCGAGGTTACGAATAGTAGGCATAAGACAAATGGGTAGTAAGGGGGAGCTGGTAGGATGTTTATAACAATGAGCCGGCCTTATGTGGGGGCGGCGGGAAACGGGCCTTACATGGGAGATAGGGGGATCAGGCATTCCATTCGATGTAACGTCCCAGGGCTGCCGAGAAGGAATGCTGACAACGAACCTCAAACGCCGACGCGCGAGCATTCCGAGATAGGACGCTATTTGTGAAAGCTCGGCAACAGAAGGAATCTTATCGTAGGCTGGGAAGAAATCCCACTGGCGCGAGGAGCAAAACACGTGGCTGAATGTTTGGTTATGATAGACGAAGACGATAGCGATAGGCCTGTGGCGCACGGAAAGTAAAGATCTCAGCGATGCGAACGAGTGCCCTTGCACGATGCAGGGAACGCCATAAGTGATCAACTGAATTTTGCGTAAGGAATCTGCTAAGCTAACGAGATAGACGATAGACCAGGCCGGAGGAACCACGGTTAGGACGGATGATTGATAAATCCACATAAATATCTGAGTCCCAATAACGCGCCGCGGAATAAAAGTCGATTCAATGGACTTTGACGCCAATTGAGAGAAAGGTATTGGCACGGTTACTGATCGATAGGATTCCGAGGCCGTCTAAGTTCCTTTTTGCGAAAATGTCAATTTGTAGAGGAGCGCAACGAAAGTCTCTCAACGAACGTCCCTCAGAATGTCGCGTGGTCGAGAAAAAAGAGCAAAGTTAGGCAGTCGACGAGATGATAGCAACGGTAAGCCCGCGACGGCGAGGCTTCGGCGTAAACATAGCATCAGCTGTACAGTAATTCCAAACCCCTAACAAAGAGGAGCTGATGACTAGAAGCTATGAACTACACAGGGCGGAAGAAAGGAAAAAAAAGAGAAAAAAGAAAATAAACGTAAGGCTGCGCGTGGCTCTCATTTAACAAAACTGGCGGTCATTTCGATGCACTTGCAAATCCCGGCTTCCTTCTTTGTGCACAATTTCCGTATCACTACTGCTTGAAGCTATGGGGGAATCAGTGCCCTCCCTTGTAAGCTCGCAAAACTATCCGAAACATGAACATGCCGTGACTATACGGGCGCCATTGGATAGAGAAGGAATAAAGAAAACCCTTCGACCTTCACGGACGAGCTGACCGCTGCTCGTAGCGGAAATCCCATTACCGATCGGGGTGTATCACTTCAATAAAGTTAGAAGTTTGACCAATTGATCTTCAGGCGGCCCATGAGGCTAAGAAGATCATGGTCAAAGAGAAAAAAAGAATATTCGGGCAAGAAAAAAAATAGTAATCGGGGTAAAAACTGCAGTTGCTCGTTCGTTAGATAAATGAAAAGGAATTGAAAAAAGCGTCTTTGTGTTTAAGCTTAGAATGGTGGCGGAAATTTATAGTAAAAAGAGGTGGGATATAACAAAAATAATCACCTGTATCACCTGTGGTCCCGTTGATCATCGAATTGCTCGAGCGGGCGCCAGCAACGTCTCTTCGTCCCTGTCGCGTGCAAGAGTTGTCCAGTGGACCTCTTCGCTCGAGGGACAGCGTGTTTCTTCATTCCTTTCGTTCAGAGCTTCGCTGAAGAAGTACTGACCATCGGCGCCGGGCGTCGTCCAGTTGCTTCGTTGACGTCTCGAGGGATCCAGTCGGTAACCGCTCTTGGTCCAACGGTCATCGCAAAATCGCATGACGTGTCCGGCCACCTTATCTTCGATTCCTTGGCGAAAACGGCAACCGTCCCTTGATCTTCGATCGTTGGGCGTAGTTCGGCACTCCGGATGCCCTCTGCACTTGCCGTGTACAGGGTACTCTAGCATCGTCCTCTCGACAGCGCGTTGGATAACGCTGACTGCATGCTCGTCCTGCCTGCGCAGAGTCAAGTCTCTGAGGCCATAGGTAGGGCAGGAAGGACAGCGGAATCGAAGAGGTGGGCACGGAGCCGGATGTTCTTCTCTTCATTCACTTACTCCTCGATGTTCTTATACGCTCCCCAAGCCGCTCGTTCTCCTCGTGCTCAGCTCTGGAGCTAGATCCGTTTCATCATATTGATTTCCCGACCTAGGGCACACGTAGCTGGGAGCATTCGGTGAATGTTCGTTCCGGTTGAGCGTGAATGGGGCATACAGGAACCAATCCGTTTCTCATAAACATCTTTTCGTTAGTTCAGCTGTAGACCAACCTTACCACAGGCGCCATCGAAATCAGCCAGCATTCGCTCCGCTTGCTCGATGTTCGGCGTTATAAAACGATGTCGTCAGCAAAACGAAGGTGTGTAGTTGCCGGCCGTCGACCTTCACTCCCATGTCCTTCCCATTCCAGGCTGACGCATGACGTTCTCGAGAGTGGCGCTGAAGAGTTTTGGGCGAGATGATGTCGCCCTGTCGAACCCCTCTCTTGACGTCGATGATGACCTCACTTGTAGAATGGTGAGATCCTGGGTCGAAAGTTGCTGTAGAGCTCCACGAAGAATCTGTGACTGGACTGAGTAAGGACGCCCTGGTTGCCAAGCCCTCGATGAACCGCTTCTGTCCCACAGAGTCGAAGGCCTTCTTCAAGTCGATGAACGTGAGACAGCGGCATCTTGTACTCTCGTGAAACTCAATGAGTCTTGTAACCGTGTGGATATGGTCGCATCGTGCTGAACCTCTTCGAAACCCTGCTTGCTCGCATGGCTGTCCTTCATCTAATATTCTGCCGATCCTGTTAAGGATGATCGAGTGAAATAGCTTGTAGATTACAGACAGCAGGCAGATGGGCGATATGTTGCCAATGGTCGTCCAGGTCTCCCTTCTTGTACAGCAAACACGGTCCTGCTGGTTTCCACGGAGTGGGTACCTTGCATTCCGACAAGGCGTGCGCGTGAAGAGTCAGCAGCAGAGTTTTGATGATGGACTGGCGGCGCAATTCGTCAGATGTCCGGTTTGACCCTGTCGAGACCGGTGCTGTACGATTCCTTCACCGACTTGATGGCGTGTCGGACTTTGGAAGAGAGTACTGAGGGGACGACGTATCCATCCTGTTGGATAAGTGGGCAGATGGACATGGCTATCGAAGAGATCCGAGTAGAAGTCGTGGATGACTTTCTCCATTGCCCTTCGTGAAGCAGTAACTGTTCCATCTGGACGTCGGCAGGTCATCTTGGTCTTGTAGCTGGCAAAGCTTCGGCGGGCATTGCGGATGCTCCTCCCAGCCTCTGCTGCTTCAGCTAATACTGCTGCTCTTCGCTCCTTGAGATCTTCCTTTATCGCCTCTCTGCATAGCTTCGCAAGCTCGGACGTGGGTCGGTGATTGCCTGCAGCTCGTGCGGCTCCACGCTGGCGTATCAGTTCGAGAGTTTCCGGAGACAGACGTCCCTTGGTGACTTTCAAACTCTCTGCCTTCTTGCCACAATCGTGAAGATGTTCAACGAGCCGATAGTAAAGGACTACGTGAACAAAAATAATTGATAAGCTAATGTTGATAAAGGACTACGTGAACAAAAGCGGAGTATATTATCAAATGGCTCAATGACGGAAATGGTTACATAACCAGATAATAGGAACAAATAGGAATTAATGGTTGAGCGAAGAAAAATGGGACCAAGAAAAGATGGCAAGCTGTAGTAATTTTGTAAGTACGAAATGACTTCAGAGTGTCACAGGGACGTGAAGTGACGAGACAAGCAGGGAA